GAGTCCTACATTTGTTTCCTGACGATATGAACTGAAACTGAAAGTCATGCGTTTACACGATTTCTTTACAACTGACAAACTGTGTAATGAAGTGCTCTCAACTGCTCAAAAAATAGAGTGCTCGCGATCTGTCTTTTTCTGACCCTATGGCCGTCCATCTTGACCGATTTCCTAGAAGATAAGGAATCCATTATAAAGATGGATGCGACAGAGATGTAAACAATGCCCTTGAAAGCAATTTTGTAAGACTTTTTATAGGAGAGTAAAAGCGTCATGAAACCTGTTCAACTATGAAACACATCTCTTATAGGCTGTACTTAATTTACATATAAAGTGTGCTTTGGAATAGGGTCTCAGCATCCTATTTTCTGCGACACTGGTTGGGTGCTGTTCATCGTCCACTTTGATTCCCTCATTATGTACTTTCCGTATACTGTGACCCCTATAATAGTTCTGAAGGAAAAGAAACAATCTGAAGGACCAAGGACCAACTGCCTAGAAAGCTTAATTGAGAAAGTCTCCTATCTTTGAGGCGATTATAATGCACCTTCACAAAAGCTTTTTCCTCATGCTTTTCATGTTCGCCATGTAGAGTAGTAGCAATAGGGCGTCTTTTTCCCGCTAAGTGATGCTAGGGGCTTTCCTGTTCCTCCGGTGTGCGTGTTAATAAGAGACCTGCAATCTCCTGAGTGAATCATCTCCATTTTTTCACTGACGCCCGACCTATCATGCGAATATAACACAGGTCGTTTTCATACACTTCCTTTCGTGCAGTGTTCTGCGAAAAAGTGGACGTTCCTTCCATCATGCTAACTGGAAATTTGCCCCTATTACAACGTTGTCCTGTAACTGTGTTCCAGCGTTTTATCGATGTTAAAATGCATGTACAAGGGTTCCTCTGGCGTAATGCACTTCGTTCTTAGCCAACACTGCTGTTCTGTGACGTTTTCGTTCATGACAGCACTTCTCATTAGATGTTTCCGATATTGGCTTGGTACTGATCGCGCCTCATTGCCACTTCTCTATCTCGCTGCTGTCCCAGCATTTTCCTGATTTCCACTTGTTTTAACACAGTAATGGTGTCCCATGAGTAAATATTCTCAGAAGTGTTATGGTATAGTTATAGTGTCGATTAAGCTGAGTTTAGCGCGGTTTCGACCCTTTTTTGGCGAGCGACAACACTCTACCATAACGTTCATATCGGTCGTTTTCCACCAGTTGTTGTCGCAACAATTGCTAGAGACGGGCTGGAGGAGCGCCAGGCGCAGCCCCTAGCACGCCCCGCAGTGAACAAGGCTGTCGCAAAAGTCTTGTCCCAAATTTCACACCTTTTTCGGATCATCTTTCAACACGTTTCGGACCATGTAACGCACATACAGGGGGGCCAAAAAAAGTCACTTCGACCGAGTCACATATCAGCAAAGTTTTCGCAGCCCAGACAGAGGACGTGGATACGAGTACCAGGGCGGAAGATACCCAAGATGTTCCTCTATAAGCAGGAGCTGGCTCTCGCCCATCACCTTCATGTACACCAAAATATGAAGTCATCTCCAGTCGCAGCCTGACTGGAGAAGACCTTTGGAATTCATGTCACCTCCAAACAGCTGCGAAACTTCTAGTATGGAGTCACCCATGGCTACCTGGAGACCAGTACTCTCGATCTGGATGACCTCCAACATCGAGCAGCTCCGACAACGTCGCCACGGTCTAGGACATCATCTTCACCGCAGTCGCCAAGGCGCGGGTTGATGGTATGGACCGGACGCACCTGGAATGGAAAGACCAATATTTTCTTCGTGGACCCCGGACTGAAGGTGAGCGCTGGCGGTTACATCGACCAACTCAAGAAGAATATCTTCCCCACATGTCGTCGCCCGTACCTTCTTGGAAACTTTGTACTGCTACAGCATTGGGTGCCACCACATGGAATCGAAGGAAACTGGAGAAACCTACTTGGAATGGAAGGGGGCTGAGTACCTAAAGAAGATGGAATATCCAAGTAGGTCACCTGACCTGAATCCCCTCAATTACCCGGCGTTCAATAGGGTGGTCTACGGTGGCGGAGAAATCGACTATCTCGCTGATCTCAGGCACCACATCGCGGTCGCGTGCCAGAATCTCTCGATGGCGCTCGGCTGTGGCGGAGTGTCATAATAGTATTTAATATGCTCTTTAATATGGTGGTAGAAATGTCCGATCAGAATTTATAAAGTGTAACTTATAGCGCCTCGAAAGTCAATGAAGCAAAGTGACTTTTTTGGCCCGCCCTGTAGTGTGTCATACATTTTTCTCTTTTTGGCTTCTAATGGTGTACACGTATATCAGGTTTTTAAGAAGTTCTGTGGCCCTTCTAACTTTTTTCTTCTGTATTCTCTAACCCAATATAGAATAGAGTTTAATCAGAGATATAACAGCCGTTGCTACCCACGCTCTAACCAATGGGCAAGTCAGCGATCCTCTTCCCTCAGAATTGGGGAATTTGCTAGTCAAGAAGTTGGCAGCTTTCAGGTGGCTGAAGAAGTGGTAATCAGAAAGAGAGAGAGAGAGAGAGAGAGAGAGAGAAGAGAGAGAGAGAGAGAGAGACGATCAGCAGAGAGAGAGAGAGAGAGAGAGAGAGAGAGAGAGCTATATCAATGGAGAATATGGAGGGTGTCTTCCAACTTCATCCCAGATTTTTTAGTAAGTCTCCAGATCTCGCATCATACGAACGAGGTGCTCCGAAGTTGGTCTCGGTCAATTTTCACAAGTATTGTTCATGGACTCCTAGAGCAGAGTGATTCAAATGTTAGCGGTGACAGTGTGCTCTTTCAGGAGCTGCTCGTTGCTCAGCATTTCCCTCGCGTCCCAAAAGCAACACATGAGAACCTTTCCGGGGTGCATGCCCGGCGTGGCCTGCTCAAACACGGTCTTCTAAAGACATCATACGTGTAATTGGAAGCGTAGAGAACCATCTCTCATCTCCACTAACCAGCCTCCTAGAAACTTACAAATGGCTAACCGGGCGTATCGCGGGTATTAAGGATCCACATAGTCAGTACTTTTCGGTAGCCAAGGGCTCGCATGCGGGTCGACGAGTATCCTTTAGATATACCCGGGTCTTGTCACAGAACTGTAGTGGTAGGCGCTGGATTTTCTCTGACAGCGTCGAGAACGGCTGACTCTTCAACTCTGTGGGGGCGCGACGACCGAGGCTTGTTTTCTAAGATCGTGTCTCCTTTCGTGAAGCGAGCGAATAAAGGGTGGACAATCCTGATACTAGTAGTGTCCTCCCCACGTGCACTGTTGATGTTGGGGATAGCTGCCGTCGCCCAGTACCACAGTACCAATCGTAGAATATGATGACTCGAAGCTGCCTTTACAAGGACGACATCGTGATCGAGCCCACGGCACATCCACGCGCTTTACTATACCTCGAGCAGCAAGCATAAAATATTGCACCATGTTTAAGCGTCGAAAATAAAAAGCTGTAAGCTCTTAATAGAACAATGACAAAGTAAATTCTATGTTCGCCTTTCTTGTAACCTGGGCATTTTGAACTTATGTGATCGATAACTTCTTTCTTATGCCGGACAGGTTTGTATGGTGGAATCTTTATTACGCCTGACGTTTCGACAATCTCGTCGTTTTCAAAGGCCTGAAAGCACACCGAAAGTCGTGAAATACGACCTATCCTGTTTAACACGGACCCGCCTTGACTAGTTGCAACACTGACCAAGGGACTACAACGAAAGGAAATTCCAACAGTAGGTTACCTCGTCAGTTCCACCAGCGCCGATGCTCTGCTCAACTTTAAGAACCGATAGAGCAAGTGAGACTCACTTCTATGCACTGCCATGGTGATAGAGTGCGTATACCCGAAATCCCTGAGATCGGGTAGGCGTGGCTGCGTACTTGATTTTAAAATGGCGGCGGCCCAGGTTTTCGTGAGATATTGTCATTTTGGAGCAGTCGTAATCATGTCTACATCTAACACAGAACAAGATAGCAGTTGTTTCAAATTGAAGTATCCCACGAGAAACCCGTCCTATGCCATGCTCAAAAGCCACGCCTACTCCATCTCAGGGATAAGGAGTGTACGTGCAGTACATCCCGTTCTCACTGTTAAAGACCGCATAGCGGAATGTACGGTAAGAAATCAGCAGTTATTGAGATGCACTCATTCCTGTTGTTCATGGATGGATTGCGGTGCTTTATCCAGAACGCTTCGAGGGTTTTCCTAGCACCGACATCATTTTCGTAGGCCAATATAGTGCATTTAACGTCAAAATCACAGCCGCCATGATTTTCCCTCCTATGCTTGCCAAGCGGTGCAACTAAACTTTCCCGTCTTTTGCTAGCCAGATGTTCCTTAACGCGTATACCTAATTGTCTCCCAGTTTCACCGATATATGAAGCGCCACAGGTCAAACATTGAATTTGGTATACTACGACCCACTGTGCACAGTCACCCACCTTCCTATACGGACAGATCACGCAGTTCTCCATGGTGCAGACTCGATCAGGCGATTCCCGACCAACTGGTATCGAAACGTCAGGCGTAATAAGGATTCCACCGTACAAACCTGTCCGGCATAAGAAAGAAGTTATCGATCACACTGACAAAGTTCTCTTACAGGCCCAATATTTCGTTGAAAATCAACAGAAAAAAGAGTGAAGCCACTGGTTATCACTGTAAAAAAGATGGTGGATGGTGCAGAGATCCGCGCAGAACGGCAGTCCGCAAACTGCTAAGCAAGCTAACCTCTGTCTAATGCGACCTATCCAAGAAAGTATAAGCTTTTGGTTCCACCAGTTTTGGTGCTTAAGGCGAGCAGCACGTAGTGGCTATGGTGTGAAAAAAGCAGAGAAATACAAGGCAAAGGGGATAGGGGGCCGAGAAGCTCAACAAGCATAGTCTTTTTGTCACAGCTTGAGGCTATTCCATCTTCTACAAATTCTGCTTTTCGTTTCTGACGACATCCATGTGAACACCTTCAGAAGGCACTTAATTTTACAGAAACATGACACAGAAGAAGAAGGTGGCAATCGTTGGAGCCGGAGCATCAGGTCTGCCATGTATTAGGTAATCAATCCTCGCAACTTCTATGCTATTTAGCCCGAATACTGGCTGTAGTTCACCACCCTCACCATTTTTATTGACAGTTCTTCCATAGAGTCCGAAACGTTCGTGTTGAGTGCACCAAAAACCTTTTCACTGCCATTTTTTTCGTGCTTGTGCAGGATCGTATACCATCAATACCGGCCAGTTAGTTACGCAACACCTTATCTATGTTATCAGCTTCTCAGCTCACATATTCTGCGAGTTTGCTATGTCCCCGAAAAAATAGTCAAGTCACCGTATGTTTCTTTTATACCAAAGCGAAAAAAAGCTTTAATATGAGGCTATAATGCTAACAAAAAGTTAATAATTGTTCCATGTTGTTTTCATATAAATTAGATTTTCAGTTGATTTAGAACTGTCAGTAGACCTATCTTATGAAAGTTTCAACACTTAAAGACACATGGTACGCTCAAACACATTGAGGGTGTATGAGACTATCAGCCCCCCAGCTGTCGATGTGTCGTGGTCCCCCCGCCCAAAACTGCACGGGGTCAGAGTACGGGGCCGTGGGAAAGTCGTAATTCCTTGCTACGCCGCCCGTTTCGCAAACTCACGTTTTACTAACACCGTCCGCGCGGCGCGGTCGCGTGCAGCTCTCTTGGCTTTTTGCCAAGTCCTGTAATTGCGCTTTGGAATACAAGTACAACGCAATTTCTTTATGCGGATAACATTTTAGGTGCTGCAAAATAAGAACTGAAGATGATGACGAGGGCTAGAACTCAAGAGCAACTGTGCTGCTTCTGCAATATCCCTCAGAGGCCGCGCATTCCCACAGAACATGACAATAAAAACGGCCTAAGCGTCCCACTCGTTAGTTTGAAGTATTTCTATAGCTTAGAGCCGGATTCGAGCCGGATCGCAGAAATGCACACGCGATTTTAATTTATTGCGTTTCCTTAGTTTTTTCAATTTTGTTTTATTTACATCTACATTCGTTGTTGTTCATTTCTAGCCTTTGTCATCTTCATCACCTTCTATTCGGACTTTGAAGCATGAGCAATACCTCAAATGTTAGGAAATTGCGTTTTGCTTGTATTGTCATGTTTTATTGTCCGTCCGTTTTTATTGTCATGTTCTGTGGGAATGCGCGGCCTGCGAGGGATGTTGCAGAAGCAGCACAGTTGCTCTTGAGTTCCCTCGTCATCATCTTCGGTTCTTATTTTGCAGCACCTAAAATGTTATCCGCATAAAGAAATTGCGTTGTACTTGTATTCCAAAGCGCAATTACAGGACTTGGCAAAAAGCCAAGAGAGCTGCACGCGACCGCGCCGCGCGGACGGTGTTAGTAAAAACGTGAGTTTGCGAAACAGGAGGAATTACGACTATCGACGACGATATAGCAAGGAATTACGACTTTCCCACGGCCCCGTACTCTGACCCCGTGCAGTTTTGGGCGGACCACGACACATCGACAGCTGGGGGGCTGATAGTCTCATACACCCTCAATGGTTTGAGCGTACCATGTGTCTTTAAGAGTTACACATTTGAAAGTTTGTTTTGCCTGCTAGCACCCAGAGAAATGCGGTGGTTCCAAGATCAAAACTACACTAGCGGATAAGTTACTTCATTCGATGACTCCTTATCGTTAGGGAATAGTGCGTGCAGGGCGGTAGTGACTTGACCCGTCTGGGGACTTGCACGCCTGCCCTCTACACTCCTTATCCCCGAGATGGAGTAGGCGTGGCATTTGAACGTGGCACAGGATGGAGTAATTGTGATATATTTCAATTACAGACAGCTGTCATCTTGTTCTGTATTGGACAAAGACATGATTAAAACCCCCAAAATGAAAATATCTCACGAAAAGCCAGCCGCCGCCACGTTCATTCAAGTACGCAGCCACGCCTACCACATCTCAGGTATTTTGAGAGTACATCCGTTCATACCATTGGGCCTAAGTGCAACAGGCGGACAATGAAATTAACTTTTTAAGACCTGCATTTGAATAGTGGTGCATATACTGCATTGAGAAGTGCTTGCGCTATACCTTTTAGCATGAAGCAACATTCTCATGAATTCTCAATAGTAAATTTCAAGGAGAAAACCAAATCCGTTTTGATTACAGACATGCGCTACTCTACGATCTTGACGTAACATGTTTCGAGGTTTCATCACATATAGGCGGTCTGTGGAGATACAGGGAAGAGGAGACGGAATGTGAGTTTCTTTTGGTGTACTTACTCGACGAGGTGATGTCAGAAGGAATGAGTGAGCTCTCTCACGATTGCTTCTTTTACCAGTAGTGGCCACGTTCATGTAGAGAGCAACCATGGTAGAAAGTCCGCAACGGGCTCATTCACGCCTAGTGACGCCGCCCCGTCGAACCCCGCTCAGCAGTGTATCTAGCCAGTGAGTGGCCGGTACTGCCATTCCAGTTCCATAACTTCAGTTCCATTTCTTTTTCTTTCTACATCCCATAAAAGTTACAGGTCCCACAGAAGGACCAGACATAGGAGGTAGCAAGATGCCCCCCAGACCACAACAGTACATGTACTTAGCATTAGACAATACTCGTAAGCAAGAGAGCGAAGAAAAGAAGCTCGATAAGCTATACTTAGGCGCCATGTGACAGCGCCAGCGTAGTGGCCATGTGACAGCGCCAGCGTAGTGGGGAGAGAGCACACATCACCACTACTCTCAAGCCCGCATCGAGCGCGGAATGAGGGAGTGAGCGGGAATGTGGCATGCACCTACAGCTGCTGACTCATTTACTTTGCACAGGACAAGTACCAGAGCACACAAAGAGGACAACCCAGCTTGTCCTTAAAGGCAGTTGGCACGATAAATCGCTATACAGATGTAGGATTTATACGACTGGCTTAACAGAATTCCGTGACCTCGGACAGGCGCTCCGTGGCGCCTTTTCCAAGGAGGGTACCCCTATAACGCCCTATCGAGCAACAACATTCCGTCCCAAACGCCTTCCCGCCCACAAACGGACGACCGTTCCTGACGCTCGTATTCATTCATTTGCTAAGCAAATTATGAAGCGAAGGGATTGGTATGAAGCGGCCGTGATGCTGCATGCATACATGGGTACACATATGCAGCCGTATCTTCGGTAGCGGTGATTGGCAAGATGCCTACGGGAAACTCGTCCGAAATCGATTTTCAAGTCACTGAGAACGGAGGCTTTTTCTTCGCCGGATTTTGACCGTTTCACTCCGTTCTTTCGCCATTTCCCCACTACATAGCGCCCTACTAGCATTTTAGGCCGAGCGGGAAACCATCGTGCCAACTGCCTTTAAGTTCAATAGCGTGCCACTGGCGCGCGGTTTACGCACTTAGTAGGACGCTGACCTGTGCAGCTGTCTGTTGGACCTGTACCTTCCGGTTTCGTTGTTTATTTTTTGTGTCACCAGTAGGTAGGAAGGAATATTATCATCAACAGTTAACCTCATGAAACAGATATCTTCTGAAGATGGACAAAAAAGTATGTGATGGAAGGAAGTTCCCATAGCCATGATGAACTGGAACCTTTGTAGATTCATGCGTGATGAAAACAACTGTGATCAATACTTCGAAAGATATGACAGCCTATTCTGACTTCCCTCCGGAACCAACTGTAGCTAACTTTCATGCACAACACCGAGTTGTATAAGTGAGTGCATCCTCGAAAATGGATATGAGCTCATTTTCTACATTTCAGGAGTGATTCTGTGACTGCTAACCACGAGCGTGTGTACTGACTGTATTTGTCGACAATTTAGGTATTTCATATCATACGCTGACCATTTCGACCTCACAAAATATATCAAGTTTAATCACAAAGTCCTAAACATAGAACGATCTCAAAGTTACGAGAAGAGTGGGCAATGGGATGTCACCTATGAAGACCAGTAAGTCAGCTTGCTCCGGTCTCGCTACGAGAAACCCTCCTGTTTTGTAGGTCGGGATCGAAAAAGTCTGATGTGTTCGACGCGGTGCTTTTGTGCTGTGGACATCATGCCATCCCACGAATGCCAACGCCATGGCCTGGTCAGGAGCGCTTCAAAGGACGCATCATCCATTCGCATAGTTACAGAAGTCACGTAGGTAAAAATTTATTTAGTGGGAATCATTTTTTATATATGGGAAGGAATGACAGAAAACTGCGGTGTGAGGGTGTCTGCCTCATGTTCTCCGTTGATGCTAATGTTTTCGGAGCACATGTTGGTCCACACACTGCAGCATAACCGAGAGAAGGTAAGCAAGGGCCCAACAAGGATGAGCTTACCAGTGCTTTCAAGCAGTTGAACTCTTTCAATTTGTAGCGGTGTCATAGATCCGGAATCAGAGTTTGCGGGTTAAATCCTGTGTTGGGTCACTTGGTCTTGAGATCAGGGAACATTTCGGAGCTTAGAAACAAGACTGTAGCGGATTGCGATGCATACTATTTAAGGATACGAGGATAAAGTGGTCGTCATTGTTGGCGTTGGTAACTCTGGAGGTGATTTGGCCGTCGAGTTGAGCAGAATTGCGAAACAGGTGATAATTCGTTTTCGTTCGGCTGAGAATGGTGGCAACGGTAAGGCATCGCAGTCAAGTAGGATTCAGTCAACTGAAGTATTGTTTAGGTTTATTTGGTGACCCGACGAGGCACCTGGGTATTCAACCGAATATATGACTACGGCGAACCAATCGACCTAGCACTAAACAGGTAAATCCGGGCTAAAAGCCAAAGCCCTAGGTCAAAGCCTGCTTGGCAGACAAATGCCTCAGCACACGACGTCCTTTTGAAATCTCCAGCGATAGGGGTCGTATATGGCTGCTGAAGGGAGTGAGGTCGCAATCGTTTATGCTCTTAGGGGGTACGCTTTGCTTCCTCACTTTTCAAGTTTTCTCCCTCTTCATGTGAGCCGTATATGCCTCTTCCAGCACATCCTTCACACGTCGGGAAAACTCCGAAATCTACGTAGACCGTAGCTAGGATAGTGAAAGGGGAATATGTCGTAACAGAGGTGGAACTTTTAATAGGGAGGGGTCGGGTTTTGCAGAAATTGTCTTGAAAAACTGCTTACCCCGGGCCTAGCCCCCTTCGGGAACCCCAGCCACCGTCTTTTTAGAAAGTGGCAACTTTCCCCTATCACTTATTACTGATCCACAGCAAGATGAAAAAACGCAATGACTTCCTCGTGGTAGAAACTTTTGTGCTTTTTTGGAGCATTTTTGGTGATTTGGTGATGGTTAGCAAATTATGCCCGTAGAGTTGTACTCTGAATTTCATTATGGATGCTCATTTCAAAAGATGAAGGATTCGTAAAACAAAAAGCCTAGTATCGCAATAAAGAGTCGGATTCCACTCCTTCTGTTCTTAGCCGATCAACATTCTGCATCTCAACTTGCTTTTGCCTTACCGAGTTACTTGGACAACTAGAA